TAGATCAATTTATTCCTTAACCCTCTCACCCTTCCTTCATCCCATGAGAAGCACCCCACTACTGGAAGGAAGACATAAGAAACTTCAAAAGTGCCTGTTTTCCATGTAGCCATTGTACCTGTGTCATCCTGTAGAGGGACAGGATGGTGCTCATGTGAACTCCAACTGCAGATGTTGGTCCCCCAATGACAGCTATTGGTCGTTTCTTCATATCACACTTGTAGTTAGGAATGAATCTCTCCTTGCTAGAGAACAATTCTAATGAGGCACGATAAGTCCATGTCGCAGTAAAATAACTGTTATAGATATGGAAGCCCAGGGTGTAATTGGGTAAAATGTGGGGATTATCATCGATCTCCTTGACTGCAAACTGCAAAGCTAGGAATTGCTGATAGATTGGTGTCATCTCTCTGAAAGGAAGATTATATATTCTTTCACATTGTTCAAGATATGACATTTAATAGACCGAAAGGTGCTTTTTCAGGAGGAAACTGGACTTTCTTGTTTTTCTTGAAGACATTTCTCTTCTCATCCAAGAAGCTTCTTCAGCTCTGACTGGATGGTGGAGAATGGAAGCATTTATATTCTTTGCAGACAGCTGGTATATTTGCATTCTTTTAGAGAATTGCAGAAAACATTGCAGATTACAGGAACCATTTGTGATTCAGTTTGAGAGGCAGATGACACAGATTCATCCCTAACAGCCTGTGCCTGTTTTCAACAGTGAAGGGACACGGGGCAGAAAACATCCTGCAGCCAAGAAGGCTCCACATCCATTTGCACCACTCAGGTGACCTTGAGGACACAGGTAAACCTCCAAAAGGCCTTAACAACTCTCTAAAAGAAGGCAAATGACAAATTGTTTGCAAGGAATATAAATCTTTCCATTCCCTACCATCCAGTTAGAGCTGAACAAGCTTCTTAGATTAGAAGTGAAGTGTCTTCAAAGAAAAACAAGAAAGTCTAGTTGCCTCCTAAAAAAGGACCGTTGGGTCAACCATGATCTGGATGATTGAGAATCTCCATTGACATTTAATAGAGTTTATTGCAACATGTTGTAAAGTACATAAAATATGTACTTCACCTGGATATTTCTCACCAGTTTTTACAAGCCCAGTACTCTAAATATATTATAAATATATTAGTTAAAAGAATGATTTATGTCCCTCTCCAATATATTATTATGACGTTGGAGTCTGAAATATTTGAAATCAATGATATTGAAGCACATACCTTCACAATGTTTTTTGCAATTTCTTAAAATATTTTTCTTTTTCATTTTTCTGCTCACTACTATGAAAACACAATTTACCCAAACTTTTTAATTTCATCTCTTCAGTTTTTAATTTTATCCTTACCATTATTACAGTAAAATATGGAAACATGTAAGTAAGATATTTGATAAAGGAGCCAGTCTTTTTTAAAACCCTATGAAAATTAGCCCAAATGTCTTTGAACATAGGTTTGCACTGCATAAAATATAATTTATTATCTATATTATCCCCCCCCCCCTTTGAAAGTCATTCTTGGACCCACAAAATGTTAATGTGAGGGGAAGTCACACCTCAATAAATACACATTATACATAATCTTTTCATCTCATTATATAGAATATTATTCGTTGCCTATGAGGAAACTATCTGAGGTAAGATTACAAATGAATAAATATCTCTGTGTTTCAAATAAAATTACAGGATTTCATCAAAAAGATTACTAGATGGTGCTTCGCTGAAGTCCATCGATGTATAGAATATGTAGATCTTAGACAAAATGCCAACAACAATTAAGTCTCCAGGTTCATAGTGCTGGTGAAGAAAGGGCAGAGGCTCACTTATGCTGCATTTAGCATTAGAAATCATGCACACCACTCGGGGTAAAAGCACTATAATTAATGCTTCAAATGCCATGATCCTGAATGAAGCAGTTCGTTCTTTAAGCCAATTCATCCCACTCAGGGCTGTATTTTATTAAAGGTCCCTATGTAGGCACAAATGTCAAAATTCAGAATTATAACTATCTTTAACCCCAGTTTAGAATATCACCTTGTGTTTATCACCTTTTAATTTTGTTGTATTGCTTTTCTGTGTTTGTGGTTCTTGCAACTCATTTGAGGTCTATGGGGAATTCAGAAATTGTCATGCTCAAATGGGTAATTGTAGGGAAAGAACCACTAGCTGGAAACCTATAGATAAAACAAAATCATGAATAGAAAAATCCTTTGGATATTTCCCAACAAATATCTTTTATTCTCCAAGGCGCCTGAAGGCAGGATGAGAAGCAACTGATGGAAACTGATCAAGGAGAGAAGCAACTTAGAACTAAGGAGAAACTTCCTGACAGTTAGAACAATTAATCAATGGAACAACCTGCCTCCAGAAGCGGTGAATGCTCCAACACTGGAAGTTTTTAAGAAGAGACTGGACAGCCATTTGTCTGAAATGGTATAGGGTTCCTGCCTGAGCAGGGGGTTGGACTAGATGACCTCCAAGGTCCCTTCCAACTTTATTATTATTATTATTATTATTATTATTATTATTATTATTATTATTATTATTATTATTATTATTATTATTATTATTATTATTATTATTATTATTATTATTATTATTATTAATTATTATTATTATTATTATTATTATTATTTTGTTTTTCAGAGAAGAAGGTGATCATTGTACCTATCTGATTGGGTACAAGAATTCTCTTGGAATTAAGAGATGGCACTGAAATAAAACTAATTAAATTAGTAATTACAGTTGAAATATTACCATTTTTAACAAAAAGCTCAAGAAACAAGAAAGGAACAAGAAGTTAAGAGAGAAATGTAACACTGTAACGTTTCTTCAGTATCTGTTTCTCTGAGTTACAAAGTAGGTTCTCTGTGTATTGTGGGAAGAATAAGTTTAAAATTACATTGGATGTATTGGCATGCATATTTTAATGTTATAGAAAAATCTGGAGATCAGACTCTTAATATTAAATTTTAAAATTAATTATTTTATCAAATTGTTTAATGCTATTTTAATTTGTAATATTAAGGCTTACCAAAGTAAGAAGTATAATAATTTTGAATGTAGATCAATAATGTTTAAATTTTCTTCCCAAAATATACTTCAACAAGGACATGGACATATGCTGGTCCCTGTTAATACTGTGTTTCCACAAAAATAAGACCAGGTCTTATATTTTTTGGGGGGGACCAAAAGACCCATTAGGGCTTATTTTCAGGGGATGTTTATGGCCACCTGCCCGCTCCTTCCCACTGTCTGCTTGCCTGCAGTCACAATGGCTTACAGGGCTTCCCAGGGCAGACACTCAGAAGGTGAGGAGAGTGCCAGCGGAACTTGCCTTCAGGTGAGGAGGAGAGCGTTGCAGACAGGCAGGGGAAGCTGAAGGACTGGGCAGCGCATGCCTCCACTGCCGCCTCCCTCCATCTGCCACACTCTTTCCTTTTGAAAGCAGATGAAGTTTCCAGTCTCTGTCATTTCTCCATCTGGGCAAAAAGTGTTTGGGTGTGTATGGCATTCTTGGAAATGGAGCAAATTGCTCCATTTCCAAGCATTCCATAGGTGCTCAAACACTTTTTGCCTAGAGGGAGACTGGAAGCTTTGTCTGCTTGCAAATGGGTACTCTGTTTCCAAGCACCGTATTTGTAAGCAAACGAAGCTTCCAGTCTCCTCCTGGGCGAAAAGTACACGGGGGAGCCAGGTAGAGGCAGAGGTTGGGGGGGGAAGGCAGGCAATCTGGACATGCTGTAGCACTGCCTGGCTTGTGTGAGGTTCATGTGGTGGCACCAGCAGCAGGCGGAGGCAGAGGCATGGGGAGGAGGCAGGCAATCCTGATATGTTACCCACTCCATCCCACAGTCTCTCAGCTTGCCTGCAGCCATGCCAAGGTAGGCAGCCATGCAGTGCATCAGGATTGCCTGTCTCAACCCCATGCATCTGTCTCTACACTCAGACTTACCTGTGCTGTGCCAAGAGTCTGACGGGCTGCGGCTGCTACCGGATACCGTCGGCCCCCCCACACTTGCTACCTCTTGTGCTGGCCACGTCCACTGTCCCAGGCTTATTTTTGGGGGTAGGGCTTATATTAAGTCCACCCCAAAAATTAGGCTATGGATGAATTTCTGGGTAGGTCTTATTTTCAGGAAAACATGGTATTATAGGGGAGGAATGGCCCAACCAGCAGTCTTTGCTCTGGTGGGTGCTGCAGGTTCAATGCTCTCTGTTCTCCTATTTAACATTTACATGAAGTTGCTCAGGTTGAGGTATCATCAGTTGTTGCCTTTTTGTTCCCAATTATGTATCCCCATCCAGTTTCTGTCTTGGTGCCTGGAGTTTGTGAGACTCTGGATGAGGCAACAACAGACTTCAGCAAAAGTCCTAATAATCCAAGTGGATTTGGGTTTTTAGATTCTCTGGCTCTGGGAACCTTCCATCTCTTGTTCTGAATGGCTCCAGACACATCCTATGCACACTCTGGGGATCCACCTGGACTTGTGGCTCCTGTTTGATGAGCAGGTGGCAGTTGTGCTTCGTGTTTTGTACCAATTATGTCTATTCCTGGACTGGGAGGCTCTGCTCATGGTCATTTATGCCTTAGTCACTTCCTCAATGAATTACCGCAATGCTATCTATATCTTTGGAAAGTATAAACATTTTCAGCTCATGCCACTTGGACAGTTGTGGGTGGACGGTTATGGGTGCAAGTCATTTAGGACATGTGAAACTTATGCTACATAAGCTGATGATTAAGTGCTGCTGCTTGTCAACTGATAACAGAAAAGTTATCATTTTTTTCAGATAGATGGTTGAAAGGAACCAAATAACGCTGACATAGATTGTCTTTCATGTAATTAACAAATTTTATTTGATTTCAGTTTTAGAGTAGGAGATTATATAATGAGAACACATGAACCAAGCTTTATAAAATATAATAAGTTTACTTGAAAATGAAATATCTTTAATGCAATCTATTTATTTACATCTAATGTTAAATTCTTAAATTCTTCCCCTTCTTAGCTCTTCCTTGTTATTTAAATCAGGCCTCACCACAATAATGTAACATTTTGGGAAAACAATAAAAGCCAGCAACCCCACACTGGAGCACAAAATAGAAAAGATCTCAACAGCTACCATATATTTCCCCTTTGTGCTCAAGTATGTTGGAACAAAAGATAGCCAGATGCTGCAAAATATCAACATGCTAAAGGTAATAAATTTGGCTTCATTAAATGTGTCAGGTAATTTCCTGACAAGGAAAGCCACTATGAAGCTGATTATTGCCAAGAAACCCATAAAACCAAGGACACAGTAGAACATGACGGTTGACCCTTCGTTACACATCAATACAATTTCCTTTGGCATGGAATACATGTCAACATCTAGGAATGGGGGAGAGGTTGATAGCCATACAATGCAAATAATGGTTTGAATACAAGCACAAGAAAGAACTATATAAACAGCCAGTCTTTTCCCCATCCATTTTCTAATTCCAGACTCTGGATTGGTAGCCACGAAAGCAAGAATTACAATGATAGTCTTTGCCAAAATACTAGAAACTGCTACAGAGAAGATGATACCAAAAGTAACTTGCCGAAGAAGACATGTCCATTGATGAGTCCAACCAATAAAAAGCAAGGTACAAAGAAATGAAAGCAGGAGAGAGATGAGAAGAATGTAGGTGAGGGTCTCATTGTTGGCTTTCACAATAGGGGTGTCATTGTGTTTAATGAAGAGCCAGAGCACCAAAATAGTAATGAAAGAGAAAATAATAATAAAACTGGTGAAGGTGATCCCCAGAGGTTCTTCATAGGACAAAAAAGTTACATATTTTAGAATGCAAAAATTTTGCTCCTCATTGGGATAATGATCTTGTGGACACTGAAAGCAGTTGTCCATGTCTGTGAGAAAAGAAAAAAACAGGCTTCTATTCTACTAACAGCTTTCATGAAAATGATACTGAAATAATCAAATCTAATTAACTATTTAAACATGTACACAACTGCTTGATGGACAACCAGCAGGTGGAAGCTGTGGTTAGGAAAGCACACCTAAGGGTGGTATGCCAGTTGCATCCATTCCTGGACCTTGCTTGCCATCAGCCATTCCCTTGTAACTTCCTGCTTAGATTACTATAATGTGCTTTACATGGGACTGCCCTTGAAGAGCATTTGGAAACCTCAACTGTATGAAATGCAACTATGTGGGTAATTAATGGCAACAGCTATATGGCACATGTGAGACCACTACTCATTGAGTTGTACTGACTGCCAGTGTGTTTCCCAGTGCAATCTAAGGCTCTGGTTGTTATCTTTAAAGCCCTATATGGCTTGGGATAGGGTTACCTGAGGGACTGTATTTTTTCAAGGGTTTCTACCTGTCCAGTTTGATCCAACAGATTGAGCATGCTACAGATCCCACGAGCCAAAGAATGTTGATTGGCAGATAATAGAAGATTTTCTACTGTAGCCCCTGCCTTATGGAATATTCTCCTTTCAGAGATTAGAATGGCCCAACACGGTTGGCTTCTTGTAAAGCTTTAAACACTTGACTATGTATATGGAATTTGTTAATGGCCCTGTTAGCTGCCCTGTTACTTGGGTTTACCATTAGTTGATTAATAATCACAGCTGCTCTTTGTATTTTTTATCTTGTGGATGTTTTTATTATTTTAATGTTTTCTAAATTGTTTTATAATTTTATAATTGTAAGCCTTCCAGAGTCACTTGATTGAGTTGGGTGTCTATAGAAATTGAATCAATCAATAAACCTGAGTACTTCAGCAGTTGGAATCACAGATGACAAATGGACAACTATTCCTCTACAAATTATCACTTACCTTTCTGATTAGAAATCTTCCCTCCTGGACAAAGAAGGCAATCATAGCAGCAAAATGGCTTCCCTTCCTTTTTGGCCTTCCTGTAACCTGGATGACAATTGTCATTGCAGAGAGAAAAAGGCTTTGTCTAAAAATTAAACAAAGAGAATAATATTTTTCATATTGCAAATGTGCATATCTATAAATAACCATAGTGGTAAGTGCTTTCATAGGTGAATCATTCAAAGGGATTTCATATATGATAACTTATAATGCAGAATCTTTTAGGGAAAATGATTTATTAATTGTTTCTGTCCATCCAAAAGTTCATATAGAGAGTGATAGATAGGTAGTGAGTCAGAGATAAAATAAGTAATCTGACATATGTCAGCACTAATCGAATGCCATTTAAATGTCATGTTTTAAATTTTTTAGCATTCCTTGGTGATATTTTGTTTAATATTGATTTTCCTCTCACAAGTTTATTATTAGAAATTCTTCAATTGTAGATAATGACTCAAATGAATGAATACAGCTTCCAATTACATCTAAATCATTATTTTGGAGACAAACAATGGTATGAATAAATGCAATCTAATAAACCTGACATTCCTGAATGGGTGTATTAAGCAAGAAGAGGTGGCATGCTGATCCTGAAATATATGATTCATCCATACTGATACTCTATGTAAAAGGAAATATTTGAACATTTTGTGTTTTGTTGGATTCTTTCTCCTATATCTTGTTATATGACATTTCTTTCTACGTTTTCTCTGTATTTTCAGACAACTTTCTGAGATAGTTGAAGAAGAGTTACTTTAAAAGCTTTTCAAGTTTTACAACTCTCGAATAGGACAAAGAATTACAGGACCTACCTGATTAAACCACTTTGGCCAAATTATGGATTCCTCTGAAATAGTAAATGTTTTTTCTGTCTGAGACAAGGGTTGTATGTCTCCAACTTTGACTCTAAGGAATGAAAGGTTTGGAAATGTTACCCAGTTGATAATATCAAATCCAGTTTCCATTTCTCAATTTTGATTAAAGTAAACTGTTTCCCCAACACTGTTGTTAAATGAGATGATTTTCACAAAATGGTTGAGCTGAAGAGAGGAGATGAGATATCAGGACATATTTGGAGGCAGATATGGCGGGAGCAGAGGACCATATTGGGTTTTGGGAGCATGCACACGCTGCTTACAAGCTTGTGGATGCTCCGATCCTCAGAGCTCTACTTGACTTCCAGGGACCTTAGATCCTCAGGCCCGGGACCATCGGCTGATGTTGTGCAATGCCAGGTCCGTGGTGAATAAGGCCCCCCTCATTCAAGAACTTATTCAAGAGGGGGGAGCGGACCTGGCAGGTATCACCGAGACCTGGTTGGGCATGGAAGGGGGAGTTCCCCTTGTTGACCTATGCCCACCGGGTTTCCAGGC